GAAAACTCCCTGCCGATGAATTGGTGGTCTATCGGGAGGAGGCATGCCTTCCGCAGTACTTGATTGTTTATGAAAAGTCTGAATCTATAAATATCCGCAAAAAATAGCCATTCTACTGTGTGATAATTTAAGATCTAGTGAAAAAATTCTTTCTGTATATTTTTCTATAAATATTTTAACTACAGATGCGTCTAAAAATATTTATTCACACACATCACTTCATAGAAAATGTATTTATGATGAATAATAATATTTTTTTTTTGATCCGGCGAAAGCATTTTATAACAATACAAGAATTTGCCAATTCGTTCGTGAATAACCATTTTTTCTTTAGAAGAAAAGAAAATCATCATATCAATCTTTTAATATTGGTTTCTAAAGTTTGACCAAATCATCGTTATAATGTACTGTATTTTTCCATCATCATTTTTCAATGGATTTTTTATAACTTTATAATATACTGTATCTACCCACGGAATGTATAATACAGTATGTGCTTTTTACATTAGTAGTAATTTTTATTTATTTTATTGCATACTGTATGTATTTAAAAAATTTATAAAGAATTGATAAAAAAACAAAAATATAGTAGAAAAACGATTTGATTGATTTTAGATAGTAATTAATAAAAGGCAAAGTTATGGAAAATAAAAAATAACAAAATCATATTTAAAAAAATATTTGTCTTTTTACAATTGAGAAGAAAATTTTAAAGTCTATTATGTCAATAAGTAACAAAAAAAAACTGCTTTTTGAATAATTTTCTATTTTTATTGTATTTTTTTAATAATAGTTGATGAAGTAACCAAATATTTATTTGATTTTTGAAAATAAAAAAAGAATATTTTATTTTAAAAAAAGTTTTTAAATTCATTCTGATGAATATTTTTTTAAAAAATATAAATTGGAATTATTTGAATTGGTTAAATAATATTTTTTTATTTGATTATAGCTTATTATTGTTATAATAAGAATTTATTTCAATAATATAATCTTATTAAAAAAATATTATAATATAATACAATTAATAAAAAAACTAATAAAACCAATTTTTTGATTAAAAATATTTCTAATTTAACAATATGATTGATAATATTAAATTAGAAATCTTTAATTATCAAATTTATTTTTAATATTAATATTTTAAGAAATAGTTTAAAAATAATATAAATGATATTAAATGAAACTGATAAGAAAACTTTGCAAGAAAAAAAAACTTGATTATCAAAAACAAAATATTATGTCTAAACTAATAAAATAATTTTTTTATTATAAAAGAAAAATTAAAAATATTTCTTTTTTAAAAAATAAGTTTTCTATTATAAAAAATTTAGATTTTTTAATAAAAAAGTAAAAATAAAATAAAATATAAACAAAAATTAATAAAAATATTTTTTTATTTTATTTAATAAGTTATTTTAAAAGAAAATAATTTAGATTATATAAAATATAAATTTTATTATAATTATTTTAAAAATAATTATTAAAAAAATTAACAAAAAAAATATATTATACTTAATAAAATTAATTTTAAAATAAAAAATACATAATAGATACAATGTTTTTAAATTAAATATTTAAATATATAATAAAATAAATTCATTAATAATAATAACCTACTTGTTAAATATAATAGTTATAAAATTATATAAACATTAAGTTTTTTTATTTGAAAAAATTATTAGATATAGCAAAAAAGGAAAGAAAATTTTAATAAGATTTTATTGTAAGTAAAATTTATTATGAAAAAACAAGTGTGGCAAAGTCGATTTTATTAATACAGTAAAATAAATATATATATATACTGTATAAAAGTTATTCTAATTAATTGTAATATCTTTTTAAGCAATTTAATATTTAAATAATTATTTATATTCAATAAATGGAAGATATTGTGATGGTGCAACGGCGAGTCAGTCGCTAAGAATAGCAAGGTCTCGTGTAACCGCGGGTAAGGTGGTATAATTCAATGGTGATGAGGCGCGTTATATTTGGTCGAGTATTTAAACATAAAACTTGGGTTCTGTCTTTATTAGCTCACAGAGACTAGCACGGCTATACTCTCAAGAACAATAGGAAACTTTGTCGAAGCTATGTTAAACTTATATAATTTTTTTTTCACCTTCCCGCCTTCACTATAATTAGATGATCGTGCACCACCCATCAAGAACAGGTTTCTCGCGGTGCCCGTCGCGACTATCTATCACGTGACTAAATTCGCGTCTCAACTTACTGTTACAATATAAATTAATAATTAAAAGAGGTAAAATTAATTATTAAATTTATTACTGTAATGGTTTCTTTAGGATTTTATCTGTATTCTAATGTACGGTATTTTAAATTGACTTTTTATACTTTTTTTTTGAATAAAAAAGAAACCAATTAATTTAAAGTGGCAAGTTGTCGAAAATTCCATAAAAAGCTAAAATGCCTCAATATAAAAGTCAAAAGTTTAATTTTTATTGGTTAGGAAGTAACAGAAAAAACTATATTTGCTTTAAATAATTACAAAAAATTAACATGGATTTGAACAGATGACCATAAAAACAAAGTGAATCACATCTCTGCCGCCAACATCATTTTGAAATAGTTGTGAGGAATATTTTTATTTAAGTCCAGTAACGACACATTGTTTCACAGTTTTTAAAGAAAACTTAAAAAGTAAAAGAATTTAATTTCAAGAATTTATGACAAAAGAAAAAAAATAAAAATATTTTGAATACATCGGAATTAATTGAAAACCAAAGATTTGTGTTCATTCATCATCTGTTCCTAACATTTCTAAGATACGTTTATCCTCGGCAAATAATATTTTTCCATGTTCTAAAAAAGACATTTCCCGACCGTTAATTCTAACTTTCTGCTCAGTATACCATCTATTCACATAATTCTCATTATATTTATAGTCGATAGCGTCAAGATCGGATTCAATAGCAGGAATATTCGATATGAAATTTAAACAGCTTAGAGAAATTTTTTCCATCGTGGCCTTACTTGTATTATAATAAAGCCTAATGGATTTCTCATCTGCAAGAGATGATAAATACAAACTGAGGTTATAAAAAAACGCTGTTATTTTTTCTAAAGAAGTCGTAAAATTTTTTATTGATTCATCTCGAATTAAGCCAATGGTAAATTTTGTTGCTTTTTCACGTTCAAGCTGTTCCTCTTTTATAGTTGCTATAACTCCCATCTTCGATTTTTCAATAATTGTTGGAAATACAAAAAGATTAACAATGGGCACTATGGCCATTACATTCATCCATGTGCTTATTTTTGCCGAACTTCGTAGATACTCCACCTCTTTCTCAAGTTTTTTAACTTCTAATTCGGATATATTATATATTTTCTTTGATTTATCTTCTTCTTGCTTGAATTCCTTGAGAATTTTCTTATGAAGCTCCGTGGTATACATGACCAATTTATGCTTTTTATCTACTTCTTCCTTAAAATCATCAATACAGTCTTTAAAAGTGTCAAAATCGAATTGATGATTATCACAAAAAATTCTAATGTTATTAACTACTAGATTTGCGAATGGAAAGATCTTTTCTTTATAAACCATGGCATGATTTGTTGCTTCTCCACGAAGTTTAGTGGATTCTTTAGAGATATTGCTATCGTAACAACAACGAAGAACACTACAAGCTGATTTGAGGCTGTGTGTCGCATCGTCAATCGATTTTGCAATTACATCAACATCGGCTAATATTTTTTCATTTGAATACATGTTGCAATGGAATTGTCATGGGAGAAAAGAGATATTTGATTTATTTATACTTATTTGACTGTTGTGGTACTGGTTTCATTGAAACCTTAATATATCAAGGGAATGAGAGGTTTGATTTATGGATTATTAATTTCATTGCAGTCCTAATATGAAATGAGAAACATTTTTTATATCAATCTTTTTTTTTTGGGAAGTAATGGAAATAACAATTGTATATAAAGGGTTAGTTTGTCAATACTATCGAGGTATTTAGAAAGAATGGATAAAGGAAAAAATGAAGAATGAAAGAAGGAGGAAAATAAGGAATGAATGAATGAATGAATGAATGATGTAAACAATGAATAAAAAAATTTGTAAACTTCACATATTAATTTTTAATTCCATATGTCAGAAGTCTCCACTTTAATTCTTGTACTTCACCGGAAACTTATAAAAACATATTATATACTGCATGCTCTTTTAACGTAACCTAATATATCAGTTATTTTAACCCAAGAAAAGAATTATTCTCACATGTAGATACAACACTACAACTAACATAATGCACTTACAGTAAAAAAGTTTAAAGTTTACGAAACAGAATCTTTAATCTTTCCTATCAAGTTTTAAATTAAAATGCGGAGCCGTAACAAAGTTTGATGAATCGTCAAGTTATGCTGCCTGTTTCTTCGAATTATTATCGTGTATGGGCGCTATTATACCCGATCTCCGTAAAACTTCTATAAAAGGGACAGTTATTTAGTCAATTGCCAACATACAATTATGAGTTTACCTGAAAGTTCAAATGTTTCTCTACAAAGTGAAAATAAACCCACTGTTCATGAATCTAACGATAAGCAAGGTGAATTAAAAAATTCTGACACGCACTCTAAAGAACAACCTGAACCTAACGATATGCAAGCTGTATTAAAACTTTCCTACATGAACTTTCAAGAACTTAACGAAAATATTAAGAACGCAGCAAGTCACCTTAGAAATTCTTGTACCTGCCTTCGCAAATGCTATGTTGACAGCGCCTCTTCTGTTAAAGAATTTGTTGATCTTCGTGGTAAAATTACAAATAACGCCAAGGTTTATACCGAAAAGATCTTGCCGTTTGCAGTTTTAGTTGTCAGAGGAGTCAAAGATTGGATTGAAACTTACGAAGGACTACCTTTTGAAATATTTAAAGAAGATGTCAATGATTTTTCCACGTGGGTTTCCGAACAACATAAGCTCTCACATTTTACTGCAAGAATTCACGAAGAAATTCTTAAGAGCTTCAAAATTGAACAGAGAAATGCAATCAACACTTTAAAAGCACTTGAAGAAAATACAATCTTGAATCGCGAACAGGCTACGCCATCACGATATTCTGCAAATTTTAATTATTTCTTAGCAAACAGTCCATTCTCGTGTATCAATAAAGATTTCATGATTAAGGCCTTAAAAGAGCTATGCAACAAAATTGCAAAAAATGAAGAAGCAAAGTTGGCAGAAGCAGCAGCACGTAGCATCGATGAACTTGATCAATCAATAGAAAAGTTTATTCGCTCTGTGATAGGCATTAAAGATTTTTTTAACATTCTTAAAAACGATCTATCTACCCTCGTGAGTAACCCTGATGATGAACAAATAAAAATGCATTACGACAAATGTAAAAATCATGCAAACGTCATCATCAATAACTGTATATCTTATATTAGCATTATTCCCTATTGTGAAACCGATCTTCAAGCTATCCCCGACGAATTTGATAAAAATTATGTCGAGAAATGGTTCGAGGAGAAAAATATAGAAATTAATGGACAACAAATACCTTTATCAGAATGGGGAAAGGAGTTATTCGTTGCAAATAATTCTGCTTCACGAATGTTATCTTAAAGAATTTTTTATTGATTATTATTTTTAGATTTTACTTTATTAAGGATGTATATCAATGAATCTCTAAATGTTAACTAACTACAGTATATAAAAATATTTGAATCTCATCTACTTAATTCCATATTGTCAAAAACTTTATACATTTTGGTAAAAATGAAAATACAGTAAATGCGTCATTGTTTTTTTGTGAATATATAAGGGATTAAATTATAATTTATAATATTTACCAAAATTTAATACTGTATATAGTGGGTCATAAATGACCTAATATGTTCTGATTAGATAGTGCACGCTCTAAATAAAATTCCATTTATCGGATAGAACTTCTAAGATTTTTAACCACATATTTAAACTCACTTGAAAATGCATAATTGGATTTAAATCTAGAAATACAAAGATCAATTTGAGTGTATTTTTTAAAAAGTCGGTATCTATTTAAACTGGATACTGTTATTGCAAAATAAACATTAAAATATTTAGATTTTATTTTCTTAGCAAAAGAAATAATGATTATTATACTGTATAAACGCATTCATATTACCTTCTTAGAAAAAATCTTTTTATGTCAAAACATTTATTAATAGACAGTATATAATGTATGGTAAAACAATTAAAATTTACTATTTAATGAATACTCCGAAATTATCGAATAAAAATTAATGAAAAAAAAATCAAATAAAGTTTAAAAATTTACGATTATAATAAATTTTTATATAAAATTTTTTTTAGATAAACTACTGAAGTTAATTTCTGGATATAAAAGAAATTAAAAAAAAAAACTATGAATACGGTACATTTTTATATATTATATACAGTGTGTTATGAAAAAAATTGCAATTATATTTTTATTTATAACTTACTTAATAAAGAATTGATAAAAATTGATAAAAATTGATAAATATATGGTTAGATATTATATAAATAACTTTACTTAATACTATTTTAATTAATATAATAATATATTTTTTTAAAATAATTGAATTTTTATAATAAAAAATCTATAATAAAAAATTTTATTCATTTTTATATATAAAAAATGTGGTTGGAAATAGGTAAAAAAATTTTTAATTTTTATATTAAAATTTTTTATAAAAATGTAAAAATATTATATAAATATTTATGATAATTTTTAATATATATATTGTTGTGGTGAAATCATGGCAGTCAGTTGCTTCGATCTGTCTCACGCCATGTAACGATTGGGCGGTTTCTGCTCAAAAGAGGCGTATGAATTTGGCTAGAGTTCGTAACACTGACACAGATCAGTCTGTCAATCTTGCGTCCTTAATGGTTACTTCACGTGCAGCAATTCCATTAGTTACACGACGCTGGGGTTAATCACAAGGCAATAGTTTATCAAATAAAGATGGTTTTTATTTAACAGTTGCGCAGTACCTATTCTGGTTTTTTCCACTTTTTGACCATTCTCAGGTTACTTATATATATTTTTACTTTATACCTATTATACCTGATATACCACTTATACCTGATATACTTACTATTATAATTTTCTATCATCTACTCATCATTTTTCCCTACAACAATACTATATAACCTAAAACCTAAAATATTGAAAACTTTTTAAAACTTTTTAAAATATTATGAAACTTTTTGAAATATTATTAATTAATTAATTAATTTTTGTTATTAATTATTATATTTGTTATATTTATATTTATTTGAAAAATAAAATAATAATAATAATATTTAGATTATTCATGTAACTGAGATAACTTGATTTTATTATTATTATTATTTGAAAAGTTTTTTTAGTAAATAAATATTATTTTTTTATTTGATATTATATATAACAAAATATATTGTATATTATGAAAAAATATTTTTTTTTGAATATATTGCATATAAAAAATCAAATAATATCTTGTTTATTTAATAATATCTAACTAATATTAAAAAAATTTTCAAATATAATATATACATATATATATTATTAAGGTGAAAATAAACTATATAAATAATAGACACAAATAAGAAAAAAAGATAAAAAAATATGATAGACCTATCAAGGTATTCAGTATTTCTAGTATATTCTAGTATTTTGAGTTATCTATCCAATAACAAGTAGTATAAAGTAATTATCAAGTATAAAGTAAATAATAAATATAAAGTTGTATAAATCATAAGATATAAAAAGTATAAAAGTAAAATAATGATATAGAAAAAAGAAGAGAAAACATATATCCAAAAAGGCTATCCACCTGAAGAAAGTCATTAACCAAGAAGTGATCACACAAGAGATTATTATTCGTGATACAAGATTGACAGATTGATCTGCATCATTGTCAAACTTGAGTGCAATATACATATCTCTTTTGATAAGGAGTTATTTTCATTTGTAGCACGGCATAGAAAAAACAGAAGCAACAAACTTGTCATATTTCACCATAATAATATATTAAATAAAACTAAGTAGTGACTATATCTATCAATTAAAAAAGATTTGAATTTTTTTTTTTTATTTTTAAATGTAAGTAATTAAAAGAAAAAAAATAAATATAATTAGAATTAAAATTAAATTAAATAAACTATAAATTTTATATGTAGAAAATCAATTATTTTTTTAAAAAAATTTTTAAACAGACTTGTTATTATATTTTTTTGGCTTTTTGATTATTATAAATAATAAAATACATATAAACCTGATTAAAAAAAACTGAAATTAGATTCTTGTATATTTTTATTACTAATTTAATAAAAAATTAATAAAATAAAATAAAATTTTGTATATACTGTATATATTTGAAAATATAAAGAATAAATTTACTTATAAAATTTTTTATTATTAATTTTATTAAATTTTAATTTGAAAATTTTTTTTTTTTTAAAAAATATTTTAAATAAATTATAAAAAATATATAATAAAAATTTTTTCAATTCATTTAATGTATGAATTTATTAAATAAAGATATATAAAATTATAAAAAAATTTTTTTATAATTTTTTAATTAACTAAAAATTTTTTAAATTATTTAAATTATTTAAATTTTTGTTAAAAAATTATAATTTTATAGTAAAGTTAACTTTTTTAATATTTTAAAATTTTTTTAAAATTTATTTTACAAAATAAAAAATTATACAAATTTAATAAAATTGTTTATATATAATAAAAAATACTTTATAAATTTTTTATAAACTATTTTTTTTTTATTTTACTGTATAATTGAATTTTTTAAAAAATTTGTTATAATAAAAATTATAATTTCTGATACTAATTTTATTAGTAAAAAGTTGTTATTTTTTTAAAAATTACTTTTAAACAATTTTAAATTAATATTTTATAATAAAATTATTAATTAATCATTAATAAAATTTTAATATTAAAAAACTTTCTTCTGATTACATCTGTCTTATTAAAAATTTTTCATTTATGATAATTTTAAACAAAAAGAAATGTTTTATACTCTTTATCATAAGTGAGCTCCAATTCAAGAACTCAAGAATCTTTAAGACAACTGATGCAATGAGATGGAATCTCTGATCAAAGTCTATTCAAGTTTGAAAGTCTTGCTTATTCTTCAGTTACATGAGAAAAGACCTATAGTGATTATTTTTTCTTTTGTTCTCTTGTACATGTTCTTACCCTTATTATATTATAAAAACTATTTATATCAATACTACTATACTTGTTAAACAAAATACTTTCCAAAAAACACATGCAAACAAAATTATAGAATCTAATATTTGTTTTAAGTCAATCTTTACATATAACTTTACAGTAGCAATATTTGTTATGCTATTTCAAAATTTTCAAAAAATTCTACTCAAAAAACCGAAATTAGTTTACTCTCTCCAGATGATTGTCACTCTCCAATCATTTAATCAGATTTCATCAAAACAACAAAACAAAAATCCAAACCTGTTTAAACTGGTTTTTTAATATAACAACAATAACAACAATAACAACAACTTTAAACAACATTAACTATACTATAATTTTTTTGTCACTAAAGTATATGCAAACAATAGGGAAACTTAGTAGACTCCAGTTTCTACAATTGGGCAAGAAGTTTCTCTGAATACATAAACTGTACTGTCAAAAAGTCTTATTGTTTATTTGTTTTAGTTTTAACTTTAGGTATTTCATCATTGTATATATTTTTATTTTTTTTATATTAAAAAAATCAAAAGATTTTGTAAAACTTCCTAAGTTGATAGGTATAGCTGCTATTCAACTTTATCTAGCATCTTAATATTACTTTTAAAATTTTTTACAATATTAGTTAGATAATATTAAGTAGGCAAGCTAGCATTTAACTTTTCTAAAATAATGAAAGAGATGTTGTTTCTTTCAATGATATATATCTTGTTATATACAATATCAAAATAAAGAAATAATGTTTATTTATAGAAGAAACCCAAAACAAAAAAAAAATTAATATTTTTATTTCTAAATTTAATAAATATATATTTAAATTTTTATTTAATTTGAATAAATAATTATTAATTTATAAAAAAATTTCAATTTCAGTTTTTTTTAATCAGTATTATAAATATTTTCTTATTACTATAAATAGGATTCCTAACAGTACCATTTTGGTACCAAGTCAGTACTAGATTTACTATGAGTTTAATATAGTGGGTTACAACCCATATATTAACTTTATTATAAATCAGTACCAAGTTGGTACCATTTCAGTACTTGGCTTGGAATCCTAACTATAAAAGAAAATTTGATTAATAATATAATTCTGAATTAAATATGATTTCCAATTAATTACTAATTGTTATTTAGTAATATGAATATAATACAGTTTATGAAAAATGTCTGAATTAAATATGAACACATGTATAATCAGAACTGTATAATATTGTTTGTTATTATAGTTATTATAAATATATTAATTGATATTATTAATATAATTCTTATTATTGTTATTGTTATTGTTATTATTAGATTAATAAACCAGTTTAAACTAATTTTATTTATTTTATTGAGATAATATAATAAATTCAAATTGAATAATTGTCAAGTATTAATT